TAACATATAATTACTAAAATTACACCCTAAATCCTGTTGGGATATGATGACATAGAGCAATTTATTCAGTTGTATCTAGAAACAATTATGTTTAACTTAGCTCAAAACTGAAATATACTGCAGGTGATTTCAAGACAACACAGCTGTACAGATGCATCTGCCTATTCCAACAACAAACCGTCACAACCAATACCCAAATACAACATTTGGGGCTCAAAATTAAAATAAGAATAGCCAAAAGCATCTACTGTGGAATATTTGGCTCATTTACTGAAAGACATTTTAAGAAAAAAATTTGTATTTGCCCTTTATCCCATCCCATTCCTCAACCCTAGTATTCCAAAACTATCTGACAGCACACGTAAATGAGTAATATATGCAGAATGCTGTTATTTTCACTACCTCAAGAAATCTCACCTCCAATACTCGTGATCTTTCATAGTCTTATCCCACATGAAATCCCTTCTGGGTCATGTGTCTAGCAATGATCATCCGAAACATTAACAAGCAAGAAGGACACAGAAGTTTGGTAAGGAATGAGCAGAGGTACTTCTTTAGAATGCTTCTTGTTCTCTAGAATGCTTCCTGCTGTGAAGAACGCCACATTTTCAATATAAAAGTTACAGAAAGGAAGGACCATGGCTATCCACCACTAATTCTAGCCATCCCAGCTGAAGCATCCGCTCTAAAACTTAAGAAGCCACTTTGGATATTTCACCCAGTAGATGGACAGTCTACATAGAACAGTCTCCATTAAGCCTTGGCCAAATTTTTGAATCAACAGCAAATAAATGATTCCTGAAATTTTAACAAGTAGGTGCTGGACTGCTTTATTATGCAGCAATAACCAAAACAATACAAGTAAAACACTGACTCCTGCTAGGTAGTGAGCAACAAGGAAACATCAGTGGTAATAACTGTAACTGCCATTTTTAATTATTATAAAATCCACTCCCACCACACACACTCCGTGGCCACATTTTGAGTATCTGGGTGTTCTTAATGACATTCTGCTCATTTCCCTAATGGCCAGTAAAGAAATAGGAGTAAAGCAACCAGAACAACTGTATTTTCCCTTTTTCTTCCTAACTTACCGCAGTGCTTTTTATCCATCAGTAACATCTGCCTAGTTTCCACAGAGTAGCTAACCAATCATTCTGACCAATTCTGGCCTCTGCTGTGCTCTGTCCTCCATATGGTACAAGCATCCCTTTTAACTTCCCTCCAGACCACAGGTGCGGTTCAGCAGCACAGACTCATCACCTACTCCCCAAAGTTTATACTCATTTAACTCACAATTTTTTGACCTGGTAAAATCATCAGGCAAAGGGAACTGGAACCAGTAAACTTCATGTCCAGAAAATAAATCAGTCATTAGGAAACCCTTTTCCTGCCACTTTTTCTCAGTAAATTGACTAATCCTGATAACCTAAATTTCTTATTCTTTAAGCCCCTATTAACCCTTTGCTTATACTCTCTCATGATATTCATCTTAGCTAGCCTAAATCATAGCTATTGGTTTAGGTTTCTTTGTCCTACTGCATCTGCAACTTTCCAGGAAAAGGGACACATTGAGCAAAGGAGCATTTTATTCACTGCTGTAACCCTTGAAACACCTCTGCTACTCATAAAAGTTCAGTAATGTTATCCAAGTACCTGTCAGCCACGACTGTCAATGACTAGTCTTTACAATTCTCATAACTACCCCAATTTTTATTAAGAAATAATGTCTCACCATAGTTTTAATCAATCAGTGACAAAGCTAATGAATGATACAGGTCCTAATGTTAGCTTCTGGCAATTATCAGACTTACAAATAATTTTATTTTTGACAGTAAAATTAATTTTAAGGAAGACAGAACTATTTAAAATGCTCATTTTCTCTTAAAGTTGCAGGCTTCAGATGTCTGAATATTAGGTCCAGGCTAAGACCTAAGGCAGATACCAGCCAAACAGCAATGGCGCAGCAGGTGTAGTGGAGACCACAGCAAACTGGAGGAAGTGATAAGCACTGAAAAGGCAACTTCTACTCAACTTTAGCAACCTGCTGTCAAGCAAGAATAGCCACTAGGCACAGCCAAGTCTACAACTTTTCAACAGGTAACAGAATTTGAGATTTCCTAAATGTGACATCTTCCTATCTTTAAAGGATGGCAACCAATTACTAAAAGTTCTAAATATACTAAAAGCCAGCAATATCTGTCTGTGGGCTGAATTCCCTCCAAAGGACTTTGCCACTGCAGACTAACAGTTCAAAATCTCTCTATAAATCTCACCAGGAGAAAAATTCTCCTTTACAAACACCCTACAGAAAAGAAAAATGAGGACTCTGAAAAGAGTTTCACAAAATCAGAGTACCAATAACAAACTCCCTTTAATCCAACCTTTTCTCTGTCTTGAAAAGTAATGCTGTTAGCAATTTTAGATCTAGAGCATTCATTGCAGAAAAAATATATGCAGATAGGGAAAACTGTTTTTAAATTTTCTGAAGATATGCAAAAAGGAAAATATTCACATAAATTTTACACAAACTTTTCCAGCCATAACCAAATTAATCAAAGTGCTCAGCAGTAACCAAAGGACCATACACACAGAAAAATAAGACAAAAAATACTAACAACACTAGTGTACTCGCATTGCTCTATCCACAGCTCGTCGCCTGACTTTTGTGAACAACAGCAAAAACCAGCCATAAACAATGCTGAACTACAGCAGACTCCAAGCTGTGACCTCCACTTAATACCTCGCTATTAGGTATTAGGGTGATCACTTATTAGTAGTCAGATATTAATCTGTATCTTCAATTCTACCTACAAAGACTGACATTATCTGATCAAGTTAAGACTTTTCCTTCCCATTTAAAAATAAAGTTATAGAGAATACTTGAATTTCACCTCTAAAACTGCTTAACTCTCTGCTGTGAGCCTTTAAGAAGTTAAAATAAAAATCCTAATATAATCAATCATGGTAGGATTTCCTCTGGAGTTCAAAACGTTCTCCAAAATAGGTATTAGATCTTAATGCTGTGCTGGCACCTGTAATCCCAGCTACTTGTAGGCTGAGGCAGGAGGAGCTCTGGAGCACAGGGATTTGAGGCCATCCTGGAAAACATACTGAGACCTTGTCACAGCAATAAAGCAGCTATTATTAGTAAGGGTGTCCCTATACCAAAAGAATTAGCAGGCAATTCATGAATTGGAACACTTGCTATGCGCTAGGCAGTATATTGAATGATTCAGACTTCTCACTGAATCTCAAAAGTAACCCTATAAGCTAGGTAACATTATCATCTCCATTTTTCAGAGGGGGAAAATGACTTTTCCAAAACCACACAATTAGAAGCAGCAGAGTCTCCAACCCAATCCAAATCTTGTCTGACTTCATAATTTACATGTTTAATCCTAAACAACACTGCCTCTAGTGACTCCGGAATTTTTAAAAAGTAAATTTGTACTTCTGAGCGGCAGATTTTTAAAAAATTACTAAGAAATGAAGTGGGGATTACTCCAGTAGAAAATCATTTATGTGGCACGCACAATCCCCAGCACTGTTATTTAAAAAAAAAAAAAAGTAAAGAAAAAAATCTAGAAGTATACAACGCTGTTATTACAAATTAAACGAGAACAATCTGCACTTTCCACTCAATTTTGCTATGAACCTAAAAGTGCCCTGAAAAACAGTCCATTAAAAGTGACAAGCGAGTATCCTAACATGCATATGTCCATTTAGTAATGAGATGGCACCAGGTGGTGTTTTCTTCACTTTTAAAAGCTGCACTTATTATAAAAACAACACTAAGCATGTATTGAGCATTTAATGAACATTTACTTGAGACATATTCTCAAGAAGACTTCATGTTCAAGTGGTGCCATAATATTAGCATTTTTAACACTTCCTGAACATTCCCAGAAGTCTGCAATACATAGACATAAGTTGGAATAAAATTAAACAAAAATAACTCAACTCGGACTAGCAACACAAAGGGAATCAACATCTCTGCACCACAGCTGGCACAAACATAATCACTTTTCCACTCTAGGTATCAAATAAAACGTAATAAAAATAGATTAATATTACAGAATCTTTTCCTAATTCGTTTTACATCCTTCCCAAATCCTCTAAAGACGCTTATTTTAAAAATACAAAATTTTCAGTCGTCCAGGGTACTGTCAACATATGAACTAAGTCTTTTTTCCTACTACTCAACAAGGTTGTTAAAATTCTAAGGGCCTATAAGACAGACATGAGAGACAAATATTACCTCTAATTACCATTTCCCACCTCGATATTTTCCTTTTAACAAGGTCTACCTTTATAAAAGAAATATACGGTACACAAAAACGTCATCCGTCCTGTATATGCTGCAGTAAACTATCAAACTAACTTTAAAATACCGGACTGTCCACCAACAGAAAGTGTTGAAGGGGAACGCTAATTTTTCCTTTTCTGGGCTTACAAAAATCTCAATATAAACGTACTATACAAATGCAAACAGGAATTCTATGGTAGAACAAGTTAGAGACATTATTGGAAGTAAGGGCCTTTAATCACACCTGTGATTCATAGAGCTTTCTCTCTGACTTCTCTGAAACACTATGCTTTCAGCAAGCAAAAGTAGAGACTTGCAGTGCATCCAACATGGAACGTTCTGACCAATCCGTCTTCCGAATTATCGTAATACAATACTCATTTAAATACCGAGTTGCAAGCTTCTCTATAAGGCCCCAGCTGCAGCTGGGAGCGCACGCAGGTTCACGGTCAGTCACGGCCGATCGTCGCCGGCTCCGCCGCATCCCGGGCCACATCTGCACCTGGACCGCGCAGAATCACGTCCGGTTCTCCCTGCGTGCGTTCCCGAGCTTCCTATCTTCCAGTACCAGACATCTCCCCAGAGGAGCAATAAATACTAGGACGCCGGGAAGTCATGCCTGCAGGGAACACAGCCGATCCCACGAAGTCCCCAAACTTGCCCGACCCCGCGCGGCCCGGCGCTCACTTACTGGTTGGTCGGAGGGGCGGTCAGCGGGATGGCCACCTCTTCCTCCTCGTACTCGGGGCCGTCCAGCGAGTCGCCCTC